CGACATGGTTGCTGCAGGAAAAAGGTTGGGAAAGTACTGGCCGTTTGTCTATTTATTTATTTAAATTTAAATTTTGTTTATTCATTTATTCTCTGATTGTGGTTGGCGTCTGTGGTATAGTGGTTAGGCGGTTCCTTGTCGCCCTCGGGAGAACCAAGTTCGATTCCCGAGTGGGAGACCATTTGGTCGCCTCTAAGCACAAGCGGGCTATCCCGAAAAAAGCTGTTTTGAGAAAATCGAAGGTAAAGTTTTTTGCCCCTTGTTCAGTTTCTTTAAAGGACAAGGAGAGTTTTCTCGATAACCAAACAAATATAAACACCAATGAAGCCAAACTTCTCCTATAGGTGGGGCAATGCCCACTTTTGGCGTCTTCGTCAAGATTTCTGGAACTGCCCGAAATCTGGGTTAGCCCGCTTGTCCTTAAAAGCGACCATTTATTTATTTAAATTTAAATTTTGTTTATCCTTTTATTCTCTGACCGTGATCGTCGTCTGTGCTATAGCGGTTAGCCGTAAAACCTCTACTAAAACTAAAACCCCACTCCCCCCCCCCCAACACCCCATCCTCCCTTTCCCCTTCCAGCCAACCCCTCCACCCTTTGCCCCTATACCTCTTCCCCTCGAACAAACCATTCCCCAACCCCTGTGGACGGTTTGTGGGTGCTCTGGTGTGGTTTGCTCTTTCTTTACTATCAAACGTCTATCATCTTTATCTCTACTCCTTCTTTTTTGTGTTTGTTACTCTCTTGTAACACCTCTAATCATCCGCACTTATATGACCTTATTGTGTTGCAAGTGCCGTAAAACACTCACTAAAACTAAAACAAAACCCAACCCCTGCTCCCCTGGCTCTTTTTGAAAGGTCGGGAGGGATACATGATGTAAAGTTCACGGAGACAAGTTGAATAAGGCAGAGGTTTTGCGACGGTCAGCGTAACGTAGCAATATCAGTCTTACACTTAGTGCCAGCCACATTAAGTGGACATCACGCCCAGATAATTCTGTATTATTCACGCATAGAGAGAAAACCCGGCAATGTTACTGTTGTTACGTCGTATATGTGTCCAACACAGTTTGTTCTAAGTTTGAACCAATTCTTGCATCTTCCCTTCGCCCTTCTCACACACCTACTTCTCTCTGTCTCTCTGTCTCTCTGTCTCTGTCTCTCTCTATCTCTGTCTCTCTGTCTCTCTCTGTCTCTCTCTCTCTCTCTCTCTCTCTCTCTTCTCTCTCTCTCTTTCTTTCTCGCTTTCTTTTTTTTTTCCTCTGTTTGTGTCT